GAGCAGCAACCGAGCTCTCGGCACCCGTTCACTCTTTCCACCAGAGACTTAGGACATATCACTCTCTCGCCCGTTTGTAATCTCTACTAGAAACTTTCAGTGCTAGTAATACGAGCAGCAGCGACGAACTGGACGTAGGGACATTCTGCCCGAATCAGTATAAACATCGTGTCCTCTAAGCACACCATCCGAGGCAGACGCGTAATACTAGAAATTTACTCGTTTGTGGTAACTCGAAACACCGACACTATTGCAGTCGTTGCCTTGGTATTCAAACCGCACTAGCGAGAATTTTCTTAGTCACAAGGTGACATGATGGCTTTATAAGCTAGAGAGTTCAATTTAAAGATTCTACTATGGACCATACCTAGTTTGAAGATCTAAATAGTTTGGGTTTATAAAAGGTCTAAATTTACAAATTCTCTCGGAGATGTTCTTAGGTAGCGTTTGGTTAGGAGTCGAGGTCAGTGGGATGGTCCCGTCTCTGATTTCTAGGACGGGACGGTTTCATTTTCTGTTTGGTTGAAAAGAGACGAGATCGACTCATTTTGTGTTTGGTTTAGAGACATCAAAAGTGCAATCATCTACTTGACAGGTGGGCCCCATGTGCCAGTCTCTTCTGATGCTTTTTCTTGTTTTACCATTGACACATGGGACTAATTGTCAGTTTTTTTTGTCTTTTTTTTATATAAAAAAGTCTATTTTTCTCCTCTCCTTATCCCTTCCTTTCCTCCCGATAGGTACGACACGAACTACCGCCGCCACGCCTTCCAGACCGCACACGAACACCCACGCCAGCAACCGGAGCACCGAGCCTGCGCTCCACGGCCACGGCCAGCAACCGAAGCCCGCGCCCCGCGACTGGAGCCTCGCCGCCGCGCGGGGTGACGGGAGCCTGCACCTGCGACCACAAGTCCACAGCTGAAGCCTCGCCGCCGCGCGAGGGGACAGGAGCCCGCGCCTGCGGCCACAACCGGAGGTCGCTCCCTGCGATTTGAGCCTCGCCGTCGCGGCCGGTGACCGGAGGCTGCGCCCGGAGCCGGGTCTGGGCCGCACGGCCGCCTGCTCGGAGCGCCGCCCCGCCTTCAGCAAACCAAGCGGACCGTCCTCACAACGACTGTTGCCCTACTCAGTTCCAAACCACCCGCGCCGCCGCCCCACCGCCCACCGCCGCCACTCCATCATCAATTCATCATCACAGGAAAAAAAAAACGGAACCCCAAAAGCTCTCCGCCGAGACGCCGGCTACTGCGATCTCCCCTCTAAAACCCTTCCCACCGACGGCTCCCTCCTCCACATTCCGCTCCAGCCCGTGGCCGCCGCCGCTCTCCACCCGATTGGTTCCCGTGCCAGCTGGCTCGCCCTACCCCTGCCGTCCATGAACCTCTCCGAGGACTGGCGCTCCGTCTTCCCGGTTTGTGCCGTCTTCGCTTCGCCGTCAGCTGACCCGCTGCCTGCTGCCGCCTCCTCCCGCGGCCCCCTCCACTTCTCCCCTCTCCCGCCGCGCACCCCGCTGCTCTCCCTCCCCTACCCCATCCCATTGCTGCGCTCCTCCACCCGCGGCCTAAACCGCCTCCTCCGCTCGTTTGTCCGAGGCACCTCCTTCCTCCCGCGCTCCGACCTTGACTCCCTCGCCGAGACACTCCTCCCCCAACCGTCTCCACCCTCCTCTCCGCCTTCCAATCTGCTCGCCGTCCTCCGGCTCTCGTGCTCTCTCATTCTCTTTTTCCCCTACGGCGAGAATGCGGAGCATGTTGCCTTTGTTACTCTGGATGCCACCACTGTCACTGGTTCCACGCCCCTCTCGCCGGTCGTTCAGAGGGACGGGTTCATGGACCCGGGCCACCCCATCCAGCAGCTTGCTACCACTGCTAATGAGTCGTCATGGCTGTCGCAGCTGGGAGACAGCCCTGAGGGGTTCCTGCTTGCCGTGACAATGTACTCCCTGAATTGGTTCAGGGTTGAGTCACAGGGTTCGGGGATTTCTGCCTTAGTGCCTGTTGCAAAGCAGCGGCTTGACTCTGTAATTGTGCATGCTTGTTGGAGCAGGCATTTGCCATCCGAATGTGCTGTGTTGCTGGAGAGTGGGGAGTTGTGCTGGTTCAATCTGGACACACGACAAGGTGGAAAGATAAAAATTGATGTTGGCAGCAAGGATGACACTGGGGAATGGCTGAGCTGTGACTATGGGGCACAACCATGGATGATAATCGTTGCGAGCTCAAAATCCATTCTTTTGATTGACTTGAGATTTGGGGACCGTGGTCAACACAAGGTTTTGGCAAGAGTTGGGATCCCAGGACTGTTTGAAACTGACCCTTTTGCTGAGGCAGATCAGTACCTTGCATTCTGTAGGGCTGGGTTTGATCATTTCCATTTCTCAGTGGTGACAGAGCGATACTTGATTCTCCTTGATGTGAGACAGCCATTGGCGCCTGTGTTGGCGTGGCAGCATGAGCTTGAGAGCCCTAGTAATGTTGCTATGTTTCGACTTTCTGAATTGAGGCCTTCCAAGGAGCACGAGTGGGCATCAAATTCTGGTTTTGCTATTTTGGTTAGTTCGTTCAGGACAGGGGAGTTCAGTGTTTTCTGTTATGGACCTAAAGAGCAAGGCTGTCCAGAGAACTCTCACCCGTATGCTTGGGATCTTCCTTCACGGTTTTCACTGACAGGTCATCACTGCATCTGCAGCAACGGAATAATGAAAGATGTATTCTCAATGCCTGTTTCAAGAGATGAATATGCTTCACAATGGAGTAAGAACTCCATTATTGGCTACTATGTGCTTCCAAATGACCTCTCAGTTTCTAAGACATCATTTACTGGCTTTGCTTTGGTCTGCTTGACAGCATTGGGGAAATTAGAAATGCAAAGGTACCATGCATCGGCAGATTCACATGATGATATCCCATGTTATGAATCACAACATACTGACAGGGCTAGTAATTTAGCTATATTTCCTGACCCTCCGTATGAAAATTTCTCCCTCAGATATCGTTTCATGAAGTTGCATTTCCTATCTGAGTATCTTGAAGGCAATCTGTGCAATGCATTGGTAAAGCATGGTTCTAGTATCAATAAAGAGATGGGCCAAATTATTGTTAGTGAAGCTGTGTCGGAATATGCAAAAGATAACTCTAGTTCATTGCCTCAACCAGTTTCAGATTTTCTATGCAATGTTAGCATTCCCATGAACATTTTTGAAATTTCTTGTCAGAGAATATTGAATGGCCTGCCATCAGACATCCTGCATGTCACCTTCTCCAATTACAAGGACATGCTAGCATGCAGCACAGAGAAAACCTTATGTGAACATTTAGATGTTCCTACCTATTTGACGAACACTAAATTTAGACCTTTCCTGTTGGCAAAACCTTCAAGCATAAGTTACAATCTGACTAGCAAAGTAGTCTCTCCAAATGCCCTTGTTGGTCCAGTACTACCCATACATGTTCTGCTTGCGCTGGAAGAGAAAAGCAAGGATGCAGAAAGCCCTTCTGAAGGAGTACCTATAGAAACTGATTCCATAAATGATCGATGTAGAGAAGTTTTTGAAGCCTTTGATCCTGTAATATCCATTGCTGACACTGACAATGGTAATGGATGGCCTGGTTCACAAGAACTGAATGAAGAAAAACCCTATTTTAGTTATGAACCTCAGATTGAACAGAGGTTCAGTATGGATAGAAGTACCAGAAAGGAGGAGAAAGAAGATCAAAACCAAGATGATCTGCATACGTCTTCAACACTATATGAGGATAAGATCTTCACAACATTTGTTTGTGGAAAAGCCAAAGTTCCTGATTCACCTGAACATGCTGCAACTTCTTTGTTTGATTTCAGCCCAGTGAGGATGGATTTTGATACGCCAGCCATGGAAATTCAGCCTGCCGAGGAAAAGGTGTACAAATGCTTGAGGAAACAATTTGTAACATGGCAAAACAATTTCAAGCCATACCAAGATTTTTGTAGCTCGCATAGAATGCCAAAGCCAAAGCAATGAGCCCTTCCATGCTTCTTTCAGTTTCAACAGGGCTTGTAGATTTACACATATGTCTGGTTGCCATTTTTTGTTTTGTATCTTTTTTTGGGAGGGTAAGAGCAGACTAAAAATCTACACTCAGGTGCCTTGTCTGATGTACATGCACATAACCTGCTGTTGAGTAGAAGAAATGCTGTGTTGTTCTATGTACTGCTGTTGTGTTGCTGTCATGCTGTTCATGAATGTATACTCCCTCCTTTTTGAAATATAATATGCAATATTTAAGATAAGCTAAGCTCATTGCTTAGGACGAGCGAATTAGTTAAAATGAGCAAATTAGCTTGCCTCAAAATTGTAATATTTAAAAACAGGGAGTAGCAACCCTTTTTTACAGATTTGGAAGGAATGCCATCCTTTTCCTTTTACAGATTTGGAATTGTGTACCCGGGTGACGTATAGGATTTTATGGACTCGTTGGAGCCTTTTTACAGGCACACTTTTTTTGCCGTTAATGAAGCTAATACTGCCACTGAAGCCAAGGTTTCAGTTTTTACAGGCACACTGCTTCCAGGCCCAGAACGAAGCTACCTCTGCCAGACTGCCACAAGAGACCAGGTTTCTTGCATGAAAATAGAAGTTACTGCTGCTTGCAATGCTGAAGTTGTCATCCTAAGATTCCTAGGCACGTTAGATAACCAAGGCCCGATACAGTGATACTTCATAATAAATCGTCAAGCGACGCTTGAGGGCGTTCACAGCACTCCAGTCCACACATGATGTTTCCATGCCATATAAAATTTAAAACAATAAAATAGCAGGTATTCGATAACATCTTCAAAATTGCGATGAGGGCCAAGCATCATAAAATGGAAAACATATTCTTATCAACTACAACACGAGAAGTTTTTTTCAAGTAGTACCAGCGAACTCTATATAGCCCCCAACAAAGAATTAGAAAAAGGAACAGCAGATCGAGTGGGTCACAACACGAATAAGAGATCCTCTCTGGTACACCAACTTAGGCTTTGCGGTTCCGGGAGGTAGAACCTTTCTGCTCTACGGGGTCCCTGCTTCCCACCAAGTCCCGGTAACGCTGCTCCCAGTCATCCACCTTCCCGTTTGCGATATCTTGATGGATCGCCCTCCGGATTCCTTTTACTACCAAGAAGTACTGGAAAAGAGTACAGAAGATATGAGTGTAGAGTTCTGTTTGATGTCAGTGAAAAGAGTATTATGTAAGGCAGTTCACCTCCACAGCAAGGATAAGTGGTATGAACATCTTCCAGCGATTATTAGGGTTTGGACCATCAATTAACTTCTGATCAACATGAATGGGCTTGCTCCCGTTTGAGATGACAACAGTAATTTCTTTCATCAGGTTTGGAACCCACAGAGTTCCATCCGGAAGTATCTGTTAACAGTGAAATATCATCATCTATAAACCATTAAGGCACGAGAACAGAGAAATGCTAGGTAAAAACCAGACAAACCTTCTCCCCATGCTCATTAGCCTTGCACCTTCCACTGTTCTCCACCAATGCTATTGGCAAAGGGAAATCCTAAAAAAGCAAAATGTAGATATTCCGTTAGAACTAACTTAAAATGCAAAAATGAAATGAATTTGTTGGCATGTCTGCTTGTGCACAAAGAGATCTGTGATGAACTGAAAAATCCAAATTTCCTGTTGTCCATGGAAACATAATTTTGAAAGAGCATGTCATAAAACAAATCAGCAGGTAGAGAAAAGCAACTAACATTGATACAGCCATTTAACCAAAGTTGCTTCCAATAATTCTCACATAGTCTAATAATTGAGGATGAAACACGTGGACGAGCATAGATAACTGAGAAATTATTGAGAACACGTATTATTGAAAGGATACGTACCGGTACGAGGATAAGAGCGGAACAACAAAATGCAAATTATAGAGCAAATACATTCTGCTGAATTGCTGATGATTCAAGAATGAAAAGCAAAATTCAATGCCGTTTGTGTACGTGATAAATGACCATATGCACACATCCTGTTGCCAGTTGGAAACTACCAACAAAATCTAACACACATAAACTGCCATAACCATGTAAAATGAAGGTTACAAAAGGCGCTAGGCACTAAGCGAGCAGTGACCCTTTGCCTAGAGCTTAGGCACGCTTAGGCATTTTGTAACATAGTGGATGACCTATAATATGCCAGCACGTCACGTAGTTTCAGAAGATCAATACAAAGTGATAAAAAAGAACTGAGCTCCCTATGATGGTCCATCCAGATCGAGCCAACTACCCACTTAACATAATCCTAACTGCGTCGCTTCTGCTCTCACGAACCACATGATGCAGAAGCAGCCTTTCTCCCTCTGGCTCGCTTCTCTCTCTCAGCTCAGGCAAACCAGCACCACCAGACAGAACTCTTTGCACCAGGATTACAGTAAAAAATTGATTGCCCACATTCTCCTCTTCTCTCCTGTGCTCTTGATTCCATCAGAGATGGACTAATTTGAGTCGGTTACTGCTTCTACCTAAGTTGCATGGTCCTGTCCACCAGTGTAGGGAAGTCCTCAACTCCTTGCCTCAGTGGTGGCTGCCTCCCATATTCCAGCGTGTGTGGAGTAGAGGAGGGAGCATAGAAGGAGAAGGGAGCACTCATGAGCAGCTGGGAGGGGTGCAGGGGTCAGGAGGCGGCTGAGATGAAGGGGTCAGGAGGCTGAGATGAAGGGGTCAGGAGGCAGGTGAGATGAAGGGGTCAGAAGGCGGCTGAGATGAAGGGTTCAGGCGGCAGCGGCAGCAGAGTCACAGAGAACCAACAGCCACCTAGGATACCGCTTATAAGGCGCTGTGGTACCCTCTCGCTCAGGACACTCCAGTGACCTCCTGGTAGTGCTTTTTTGAAAACTGTTTAAAACGTTAGCAAAATAAATGAAAAAAATATAATGGCATCGAATAAGACTGACATGACTGCTACCAATGTAAACCCCAAACATATCTAGACTGGCGGTCAGTATACCATCGAACTAGTGTCAAAAACTGCAAATGATGACCGTGCAAGGTTCAGCTACCCGTTGCATGGAGACTAACTAGCAAGGTAATCTAACACTGCAAATGATGACCGTGCAAGGTTAATGGCATAAATTAACAAATATATCTGCATATGACCATCGTTTAGCAGCTAGTGTGGTTTCTAGCACTAATTAGGGAAGTGAAACCAAGATCAGAAGTCCAAAAAGGCATTTCCACAGGAGTATGTCCAACTAAAAAATGGCAGAAAATGATCAGTGGCTGAGGAAGGTCAGACACTCATTGCAGCTCCTAATTGATGCATGGGTATTCCACAGAGCATGATGGAAATGGTTATACGGTAAATGAAAACATGCATTACCCCATATTCTCGTTTGTTGATTCCTGCCCCCGAGCGGATGTATCGCAAAAGTGCCTCTGATCTTCTTGTAAAGAAATCATTATAGTCGATTCCATCAGGTGGTGAGAGTTGAGCATGGGTCAACACAACCAATGATCTTCGCCAAATATCTTTTCCAAATGAATTGGTGATGGCTCTTATAACCTGTTCATCCAGTGTATCCATTCTATACGCATCCAAGCGATCCACGTACAGGAGAACATCGATAGTCTTGCCTAGCAGAAATCTGCAATATAATTGATAACATGTAAGATATATGTATATTAATTTAAAAGAGGCTTCAGGAGTTGCTGTTTCACTCATTTGCACTTGCCACACAATGTCTCACTTGTATTTGGATCCAAGGGTAAATGTAGGTGAGACCAGCAAACCACAAACATTTCAGTTAGGGTGGGCGCATTTAACCCGAAAATCGAACCGGACCGAAACCGAACCAAATTGTCAGTTTTCGGTTTCTCAGTTCGGTTTCGGTTTTTGCATCTGGGAGCTTCGGTTTTCGGCTTGGTGATCGGTTTCGCTCTCAAACCGACCCGAGAAACCAATCAAACCGAAAGCACTCCGACATCCGCCCAGTCCAGGACTGTGCCTGTGCACCTGTACCCCCTTCCCAGTGTCCCACCGTGGCCCAGACCAACAACAACACAATCCACCACCCCACCAGAGCCCAATAGGCAGTACAGGCTTGCTTCTTCAACAAAAGAAGGCAGTACAGGCGTGCAGCAGTAGCCCGTCGAGACTGGGAGCGAGAGGGGCGGGGCGCCTGCGACTGCGACGGCCTGCGTGCGAGACCGGAGCTGCAACGGCGTGGCTACTTGGGCAAGCGGCGAGCGCGTCAGCGCAGAAGCGCGGGCGAGAGGGGCGCCACTGACGCGTGTGCGAGCATGTGAGCAGAGAGGTGCGGCCGCGCATAGCGGCGCCGGCATGGTGGACTAGCTGTGAGCGGCGGCCGGGGGACACCGCAGACACAGCGGACGAGATCCCCACACAGGTACGAGATCTCACAGGCAAATCTCGGTTCAAACCGAGCACTGAACCGATTAAACCGAAACCGAAATTGTCAGTTTCTCTTCTTCTCTAGAACTGATCGGTTGCTGCTTCTTCCAAAACCGAAATTCTTTCAGACTGAATAACCGAACCGAATTATCGGTTTAAACCGATTGCCCAGCCTGACATTTCAGTAGGTTAGTTTAATCAACTATCCTCAGATTGGACACAAGTTCTTCAACTAAACACCTCGACATGCCCCAATTCCACACTTTAAGATGCTTGCCCAAAAACGGTTATTTTTCCTGAGGTTTTAGTAAATATATAAATAAAGAGAAGTTAATGCTGTTAGGGCTGCATATGGACTACATCGTTCAAGATAACATAGCCACTCTGCATATAAAGTCCCTAACCCAAATATCTGCACATTTTTTAAATTCTCTCTTGCTTAAGCTCTTCAAATTGCAAGAGGTTTGTTATCTTTCAGAACAAGCAATGTAGTTTAACTTATGAAATGCAGTCAAGGTTATGGAGTGTTTCACTAGACTACTAGGGACAGAAACATTAATAGTAGATCATAGTGTTGTCATGGTTGTAGAGAGTAATAGTAAGGATATGCATGTCACAAGCGGATATTCCAGCGCACGCATTTTTTATAGCATTCAAAGATCTGCCATGTAGTATTTCATGTGAAAACAATGTTTTCTAAATGTGCTACCCAAAGACCTTGCTAAATCCACTGTATATCCAACTGAAGCAACCAGATAGTATGAAACAATTCTTCCTTAAACTAGGTCCAGAACGGCAATCCTTTGTCAGGGCACAGTGCCACATAAAGCCCTATATTACATGCTATAAAATCTGTAACAAATTGCATCACTTTCAGGCAAGTATAGATATGACTCAACATGCTGAAATGCTGAAATGTCCATACCTCTTAATGATGTCAACAGCCTGCTCATTAATGTATCCACCTTCAATGAGCCCAGGAGTGTCAATAATGTTCAAGGTGAACCCTGCCCTTGTGCGCGAGCACATCATTGGTCTCAGACCCTCAGACTGCACGTACAACATCCAACAACAGAACCACACATAAGTTACTCTGGCAGCCCGAACCAGAAACTTAGAACATGGCGAAGCAAAACCTGGAAAGCGCTGACAGTGGTGACCCTCTCCCCGACGATGGAGTTAACAGTGGATGACTTCCCCACTCCACCTTTCCCCATCACCAGAATTGTTAATGTGCTCACATCCTTCACATCACAAACACAAGCAGAACATGCATTGATCACCAATTCTTAAAGAAACATAACCAACCAGAAAACACGACCATCCCTGACTAATATACTACCTCCGGCCCAATTCATTTGCCATCTAGGACAATGTAGTAAACCAAAGGCATCTTCGGCCCGGCTTTATTGAAAGCAATTTTCTGGAGGTAGCAGTTTACATGATAACGTCTAGACATTGCACAGCTAGGTCGCCAACTCTAAGTGCAGACCTAGCGTGCGTAACAAAGCTCTACCAGAGACAAGCTCCTAAACTCTACAGAGCCATAACTCACAATTTTGACCATTACTTCCTCTGAGTCCACAATAGTATGAATTGCCAAATTGTAATGACATTGCAGTTGCAGTACTTTTGAGTTCGATGTCATTCATTTTCATGTGATAAGAAAAATAATTCCATGCATAATAATGATTGGACTTTCCATGGCACACATTTTCGGATGACATCTATTTTAGACCGGAGGTAATAACTGATTCACACATAGAACGTTGCATAGACGCGTGGCGGAGTACCTCCTCCTTGAGTTTGCCGAGGAGCTCGTGCAGCTTGGTCTGGGTGGCCGCCGGAAACTGCTGCAGCCCGACCCACTCGCGCGGTATCGGCGACGCCATCCTCTCCCTTCCCTTACCCTGCCACAAGGACGCGCGTTCCACAAAATCAGAGACAAAAAACCAATTTTGCCAGGACGGAGCGGAGTGTGCGCACGGCGGGTCAGGCGTAGATGCTTACCGGGAGACGCGGGGCCGGCAGTTAAAACCTAGAGCGAGGGCCGGGTCGCTGCGAGGGGAAGGCGGCGAGCGGGCGGGCGGGCGGGGTCACGGCGGCGGGGGTTTATGCGAAGGGAAGGGATAAGGAGAGCGGAGGGGGTGATGAGACGGATGCTGGGGTGGGGTGGGGTCTTGCTTGGCCTCTTGCCGCTTGGGGACGGGGACTCCCTGTTCCTTGTTCTTTTTCCTTTTCCCCTTTTCATTTATTTTCTCTGTGGGCTGTACCGTGCTAAACGATAGCCTACTCATGGGCCTGTGGCTTGGTTGCTATAAAAGTGCTCACTGTGGGCTGACGGGCCTTGGGGCGCTCTCTAACGTTGTTAGGCTCTATTCTTTTTTAATCTATACTCCTTTTCAATTTATAAAAACTAGGATTGTAACAACTAACAAAATTATAATGGAATTACGTGGAGATAATGTGGATAGCTTGCATTAAAAGGTTCAAAGTTAATGGGATGACATGACAATTAGTGGGAGATGTTGTGCATAGTTAGTGAGAGATGACGGGATGGTTTTCATGTTGAGATAGACTATCAAAAACTTATGCAGCCTCAGCATCGCATAATTTTAGAAGTAAAATTTTAATGGAGACAGCTCTACTTATATATATTTTGAGATTAATGGCTATTTTGTCCCGTAGCCGTTGAACCAGTAGTGATATTATCATCACTACTAAATTCCAACCACTTCCTCTGTTTTTTACATATCACATTAGCTTTGTCATAAGACAAACGTTACAATCTTTGACCACAATATCATATGAATTATATGTTATGAAAGTATTTCTCATAGTGAATCTAAATACATAGATCTTATACCATGAATCTATATTTTTTTAAATCAATGTCAAAAATATAAATGTTTGACTTAGAACAAAGCTAATATAATATGTAAAAAACAAAGGGAGTAACTATTAGTGAAGTGTTGGGGTGCGGGATTAATGTTCACTTCTCTAGTAGTGGCATGTGGTTATACCAAAACTTCTTCTCCTGAATTATAATGCACTTTAGCTTTGTCCTATACTCCTATATCAAATACTATATCCCTACCTTTTAAGTGTCGTTATGATATTCGTGCTGGTCAAACATTCTTAAATTTGACTAGATTTGTAGAAAGTATTGGTAATATTTGTATCTCCAAATAAGGTTATTATAAAAATAGAATCAATGATCTATCTAATGATACTATTTAGGTACTATAAGATTAATATTTTATTATATATATTTGGTTAAAGTTTGGTATGTTTGATTTCTCATGAAATGAGAACGACAATTAAAAAGGGACGAAGGGAGTATATCTAACTTTATTACCAAGCTTTTAGAAAACTGATAGTCACAAGTTCAAATAATGAACTACCATAACATATTTCAATTTGATATTGTGATTCCCTTTCTCATAGGGTTTGTCAAGGTTGGACAAATTTGGCTTATAATAAACATAAAGTGAGCTATAAATTGGAAGGAATGGTCGAAGTCTAAGAGTTTCTAAAATCCACTCCCAATCTTAACATTTTTTTGCAAGATTTTAAAAACTGTTCTCCAACTTCTTTTCTCAACTCAATCTTTCCGCACTCACACCGTATCAATTAGCTAATCTGGAAGTGAAAGGATGTGAGGAAGGATAAAGAGTAAAGACAAGAGTTCCCAATGCAAATCTACAAGAGATAAAGAAAGTATGAAGTGGTTGGGGTGATATGAAAATGGTCTAAAATTGCATTCTATCTTTTAGCCACTTGGAAAAGTCACTGATTTACCGATTGTTTTCTTGAAATTATTGGATAACTATTCTCCACAGAATGTATTAACCCAAGACAAAAACACAAAGATCTAGTAACAAAAGAAGACAACAAATAGGTTCCATAGTGATTAGGTTCTGTTTGCTTATGCTAAAATTTAGCTTATATTAATGTTTATACTAAAATAATATGAGAAGAAAACACTATTTTATAACTAGAAAGTAGCTCAAACGAACGGAACTTATATTTGCTTCTGGAAACCAGCCATGGTCCAGCAAGGCAGGCTCCTGCGCCAAGGGCGAGTGGCAGTGGCAGTGGGCCAGTGGCGCCAATAGTTTCCATGTGATTATTATATTTGCGGCGTGGAAGGCGGAATGGAACAGTGGAAGTCGTTGCTCGCTAGTACAAAACCGCCAAGCTACAGAGCTACGAAACCATCACACGAAGTGCTAGCTGCTACGACTACTACGGACAGAGCCGCCGGATACGTGCGCTGGCCGAGTCGTCGCAGGGCCCGGCTCTGGATGCATGGGGCCGGCATACAGACTGGTCTGGTCAAGCTCGGTCGGTGCATGGTCAGCTTGGTCACGTTTTACCACTGCGTCCAAGCTTGAACTCAGGTTTTCAAAGGTGACAACTGTACGTTCATCTAGGCGGATACGTTGGACTAGCGTGACTGCATAATATTCCAACTTCCAGGCCATTCTGCCCTCTGTGGCTTAGAATTTTTCAAGGCACGTCTACAAGCTCATTAAACAAAGAGTAAAGTTCATATCCGGTCCTCAAACTTATGGCGGTGTATCATTCCGGTCCTTAAACTTAGAAAGTATGTCATTTCGATTCTTAAACTTTATTTGATCCCATATTCATCCAAACGGGTATGGATCTGTACCCGTGCGTAGAGACAAGCAGCATTTTCGTTTGGCTGGTTCGTATCGTTGCTGATTCGTTTATGTGAGAGAGAAGTACTTCTTTGGTTTGGTTCGATAAACAAGACTTTTGTGAGGGGGCACACCACCCGACCTCGACCAAAATTTCAATGATCACGCAGAAGACTTGATTACTTGAAATAAAAGATTAGTGGGGCTATAAACAAAATTCCCCAGACACATAAATTAGACAAATATTTACGAACTTCTCGAGCGGTTATTTTGAAAAAAATTGTCTTCTTCCTCATTAGCCATTCCACGCGAGCTCATCCCGTCATGGCGTCGTCGATGTCGCCGTGGCTGCCAGGCAGGCGCAGGCGAGAGCCACTGCGGCCACGGTAGCCTAGGCACGCGGGTGAGCCGCCTCGCATGATGGTCACCACAGTAGCTTGCGCGACGAGAGTGACCCGCCTCGCCGCGATGCCCTGCTGGCCAAATTCGCCGACGACGTGATGCTCCCGGCGGGCCTGCTCCACCTCCACTTCCACACGATCGCTTGGCGCCGGGGTGAGATGCCACCATCAAGCTCAAATCCCACAATGGCACTCACTGCGACGCGACGCCGACCCAAACTCCACGGTGCGCGCAGTACGAGGCCACCAGACGAATCGCCACCGCCCGCAAAAGGGCGGCGTGCAGCCGCTTCGTCGCATAGGTGCGCCGTCGCGAAGCGAAAGCCTCTCGCCGCCGCCGCGCAAGACACATCGTGGCCGCCACCACCGCCATCAAGACAAAGTGCGGGCGGCCCATGGATCGTCGCCACAGACATCCCGCGCCATGGATGCACAAAGCGCGTGGGCGGCGCCACCACCACCGCCATCACCATCAGATACACGCGAGTTAGCCGCCGTCGCTGCTTTGACAGCGTGAGCCGCCACCGCCGCCACACAAGCGAACAACAGTCGCCATCGCGCGTGGAGGAAACAAAGACGCCGATGAGCTAACCATATAACCATGAGAGAGAGGTGAGAGCGAGAGATAGAGGCGACGTGTGGACCCGCACTCGTTTTGATGAATATGAAACCCAAACAAAGTTTAAGAAATGGAATCACACATTTTTTAGTTGAAGGACCGGGATGAAACACGTCTACGGGCCAGCCGTGGTCGCCGCCGCCGCCATCATCCATGCTGCCGTTCAGCCATGCGTCGCCGCCAGACATCCCGCCAGCGGATGCACAAGCGCATGGGCGAGGCGCCACCACCGCCACCGCCACCGCATACACGCGCAGGTTAGCCGCCGTCGCTGCTGCACAGGCGTGAGCCGCCACCGCCGCCACACAAACGAACAACAGTCATTGCGCGTGGAGGAAACAGCACGCCGATGAGCTAACCATGGCCATGAGAGAGAGGTGAGAGCTGAGAGATAGAGTTGACGTGTGGACTCAGACTCGTTTTGATGAATATGAGACCCCAGCAAAGTTTAAGAAATGGAATCACACATTTTTGAGTTGAAAGACCGGGATGAAACACGTCTACAAGTTTAAGGACCGGACATAGATTTTACTCTTAAACAAATGTCTTAGAGACCAAACACTGCCATTCAGCAAGGCGGATTCTGGCAATTTTCTAGACGATGTGGGGAAGTGGCAATAAAAAAATGTTTTGCAGAAAAATATAGTAGTACAGTACTTGACAGTTCAGGAGCAAATTTATTAGGTGCTGATCTAACTACACTCTTTTTCAAATTCGTGGCCAAAGTTTAATATGACGTATGGTCGTAAGTTATGTTGACAGTTCTAAGTGCATTTTCTTTCTTTTTCTACTCTCACTAGGTAGCGTGTCCGTACGTTGTTATGGAACAACTAAATTTTTTATACTAAAAATACACGGATCGCACAATAAGATAATAATACTGTTAAATTAAATACCGACGTTAAAGTGATATTTAATTCAAAAAGCAAAGTCCGTGAAATTAACACAGTCACGGAGAGCGCGGCGTCGCAGGCTCACAAACTCTACTGTATAGACTTTTTCGTGATATGGCTAAGATAATATTTTATATTGGCAGAAAGAATTCTCCGATATCCATTTCTTTTATGCGCCAATAAATCCATGAATTATTTCCGCTGCATCTCCATATAATCCTGTACACATAGGTTTGAGTATATATGTAAATATTAGTGCTTGTCACATAGATAATATTGCGTGTCTTAAAAAATCTCTCATAAAATTTTAAAACAAAGTATGTTATACTCACCGTATAAATATATGTGACTTTAGAAATATTCCACACAGACATATATTGTAGAATAAGGTATCTACTTGAGTGTCTGTTCTAAGATGTTGAATTAGGTGTTGTAATTCTTAATTTTGACATATTTTCAGGTAAGGCAACTAATGGTGACACTTTTCTTAGTGGTGCATAATTTTGTGATGCACCTCTTGACTATCTGAGTAAGGACAAGTTAGCACTGCAAAGGCTTAGAAAAGCTACTGAGAAGATCAAAGTTGAGTTTTCCTCCACTATGCATACTAAAACCTAGTCCCCGTTTATCATTGCCGATGCTTTTGATGCAAAGCAATTCAACATTACCATGATCAGATATAAGTTTAAGTCTCTTGTGAGCAATCTTATAGAGGGACTCTGATTCTTTATGTGATCTGGCTCAAGGATATTGGCAGGACGATGGATCCATGTTAGAATGTCGCACCAAAAAATGTCCATGTTTTGTCCACGATTTATTTCCCATGAATACATGCGGGTACTTTGATAACACTAACTACACCAAATAAAAAAATAGAGAGAATTTGCATTGCCTCCAGAAGGATTTATTTATTAAGTTCTTTGGACTCTACAGGTAGTTTTGAAATATCTATTTGTATGTCTTATCTCGTATCCTAATACAAGAATAATCTATGCATGGTCTTTTTGAAAGATTTCTGCAGCGTAAAGACATCTTCGTTTTTTATGCATGCTCGTGCTAACGCTACGGTGAAAACAAAAAAACAATATATCAATTAAAAAATAAAAATAAAACTCATGCTCAAAGCCAAAGAGATAAATTATGGATGCTTGAATTTTGTCATCCATTATCTACCGGCGTGCCTATGAAATAGACTGAATAAACAATTAAACATAGATAGAAAACTAAATTAATGAAAGGATCATTGCAAGACATCAATCATCTCATAGCTTCGGACAATATCGCAAAGCTACTAAAAACTGTAACTGTGTCCTCACCTCAAACATTGTCCAAATAAATGGATTATAATGAAAGAAATTCATATCGGACATTTCTTCTTGCCAATATAAAATATTATTTTAACCGCTTCACGTAAAGGTCTATAAAGTAAAGTTTGTGAGCCTGCGACGCCGCGCACTCTGTGACTGTGTTAAATTCATAAACTTTGTTTTTTTGGATTAAATGTCACTTTAATGTTGGTATTTAATTTTTACAGTATTGTTATCTTATCGTACAATCCGTGTGTTTTTAGTATAAATTGTTAGTTATCCCGTAGCAACGCACGGGCACGCTACCTAGTTTAATAAAAAAAAATAGTGTCTGATGTCTACTGTCGCGATGGACTATGGATTGAGAAACGGGAATATGGTGAAATGATTTAAAATGAACAGACTCATGGCCAATTTCAGCAAGAAACAAAAGCGAGGGCAATGGAACACGTGAGCGTGAAACCAAATAAAAGGAGAAAAAAGCTGTCCCTTTTACAAATGCAAAGAGGGGAAGTAATTAAATATAGACAGATTTGGCAAGGTTCTCAGAAATGCAAAGAGATTCCTTTTGTCTTAATTCTCTTTCCTTCTGTGTTAATTCTCTTTCCTTTTGCTCGTTGCCATGTATGCTGGTGCATGCAAACATGCAATGTGTATATGGATAGCATAATAATTTTCTACTTTCTATTTTGCCGTGATTCCTCTATCACATGACAAGCAATATTCAATCAAGAAGAATGGCACGATCAATCAGTAATTAAGATTAACCTGTAATCAATGTGCATGCGGGAGATGTTGTGGGATCGCAGGCGTGGGCAGACGGACGAACCAAAACAAATGTCGCATAAAAAAATGTCCACACTTTGTTCTTTTCAGTTGTAGGAGATAAACAGAGTTGTTAGGAACTTAGGATGTGACGTGGAACTAAATAAAATATTCGGTGCAAATTACTCATTCGACACATCGTGAAATGCCCTTTTTGAAATAATATTTTTTTTAAATTTGAAAGGAAGCACATAAATACTATATCAATAGATGTATACATTCTTGCAAAAGTTGGAATAAAATTGTTTTATAAACATTCATATGAAAATGATAAAATTTATGAGCATATGTAGGGTCTATTTGGCACGGGTTCAATTTCGAGATTGGCAGCAGCTTTAGGCTTTAGCGAGGAGATGGAAGAGCCAGAGGAGGAGCTACTTTTTCTTACAGAAGAAGAGCATGCACCGAGCCAAAACTACAATTTGTGGCTAATTCCTCCAACTCTGACTCCTCGAAAAGAAGCACATGAAGGAGAAGTCATGTCAAACATACACATAATAGAAGACAAAATCAAATGAATTTTTGTCTTATTACACATGCACATGAATTTTATAATTTTCATACATATTTTTAAAAATTTCTAAGTATATGTTTCAAAGAAGTTTTCACGATTTCACCGAGCACGTTCCTGACTGAATCGTTTGCTTGGTAGCAATGAGTGGATTCGACATGAGATAGGGCTTGTCTATACATCTATTGAATGATTTACCAATCCCAGCTCTATCATATTTCCAGCCCTTCAATTTGTATCTCGATCAGATGTCCAAAATCTCATTATACTCTCTTAACCTCACCTATTTTACCCCGCCTGACCTAACTGACATCATGTCACCCCATGCGCTACCTTGATCTTAACTGACGTGTGCCATGCTCCACTGCTCCTTTTCAATATCGTAGCGTCATCGATCTCTAGCTACAATGAGACTTGATAGCTACCACCCCTCCACACTCATCATTAAGTAATTGCAAGACGTCTGCTCTGCCCTTTGCTTCTTTTTCGATAAAAATCTACAGGTACCACTCGCCTCTGCAACTCTTACGGCCGTTGCCTTTGCCAAGACCAGAAACACCTACCAAATTCGTATGATAGAATCCACCTCTAGCCCTAGGAACTCCGTTCCACCCTAGATCTCGATGTCTCACCTCTTGTTGGGCTATTGTGTTGTACCGTACTGTACACAACTATGTAAAGGACTCCGAGACCTTACACTTCAAGTGATGTTTCATTGAGCTTCAGAAAGATATTGTCAATCAGTGTTTCCAATACAGGTGGGACAGGTTACAGTTAGGTAGACTAGCCATATTTTCGTGACAATTAGTATGTTCCAATGCTTAAATACTGGATGTTAGCACTAGTTTCCATCTGGTGTATTAGCATATACTAGGATTACTAGTATAAAAAGGAAATCTATCTTCACGTTACGATGTTCTTTACTAAAAAAACTGCAGACTATCCCATACTTACAAGCTCAAGCATACTAAAAAGTTACGGTAGATCCGTAGATGCAAATATATCTGTTACAATCTTCTAAACAAGAAATCTACACACAAGTTCTTCACAAAACGGAAATCGGATCTAAGTTGTCATTTGAACTAAGCTAGCTTGCTGAAATAGCGTGGAAGCATGCCCAGCAAAATTTACACACAAGTTCGTCGCAAAACGAAAATCAGATCTATGTTTTTGTTTTCATTTGAACCTAAGCTGCTGAAATAGCATGGAAGCACACGCCCAGCAAAATTGCAACTATCCTATCAACTTACTAGTTAAATCGTCTCTCTATTTATACAAAATCCACCTTTTTACATCACAGTTGCCTTTGATTTAAGATGACAACTTGTTCAGGCCTCTGAAATCCACAGCGTCGACGCATTCGCCTACGCTCTTGTACTTGTTGAGCATCTTGAGCAGCTCGGTGGCCTTCTCCTTGGTTGCGTCCCTGCAGCCGACCTGCAAGAGCAGGAGCAGCTTCTGGAACGCCCCAACCCGCAGCGCCTCGACAAGGCACCGCGTCACCGCATCATCCTCCTCCTCGCCGTCGCTGTGCGCCTTTCCAAGCCGCCACATCGCCGACACGGCGAGTTGGGTGGCCAGGTCGGACACGCGGAACATCTTCTTGACGAGCATGGGCACGGCGAGCGCGTGCGCCCGCGCGCTTGCGCGGCCTTCCTCCGAGGCAAGCACCGCGTCGAGCACAGCCAGTGCCTTCTCGGACATGCTCTTGTCGGCGTCTACAAGGGCCTCGATGAGCACGGGGACGAGCCCGGCGGCAGCAAGGCGCGCCGCGACACGCTCGTCGTATAGCGCCAGGTGATAGGTGGCGACCATGCCGGCCTTGGTTGCCTGTGGGCAGATCGGAGACTTGATGATCTTTGACAGCGCGTCTACGATCTCGTCGATCTTTCCGCTCAGATCAGTGAACACTCCGTCGCACGAGACGACCTCCTTGATTGCCAGCACGGCGTTCAGCCTTCCCGCCAAGCTCCCGTTCTCAGCAATGGCGACCAGAGACCCCAGCGAGGTCGGCAAGCCCAACGTCCTGGCGGCCTCCTCGTCCAACGGCATCATGCAGACCAATGCCGCCAGGATGTCCTCAAGGACGCGCCCCGCCGGTGCGGCGTCAGCAGCAGCAGCGAGCGACTCGAACGCGGCGGCGAGCACGCGGCCCGTGCCGATGGACGCGAAGCAGCGCCTGTTCCGCTCGCTGTCCCCGGCGAGGGCCTTTATCTTGGCGACCACCTCGGCGCACCGCGCGGCGGCGTCGCGGCGTCGCGCGGATCCGGCGAGGTTGAAGAGGAGCTCAGAGGCCTGGACGGGCGTGACGGGGATCTTGGGCGTGGGGATGCGCTCGACGCCGCGGGACCGGTTGGCGACGCACCAGTCCTGGATGACGCGGCGGATGGCGTGGTTGGGGACGAGGTCCTCGTGGCGGAGCGGCGCGTGGGTGACAGGGCAGGTGGCGCGGCCCGTGTCCAGCCACGCCTCGATGCTCTCACGGTCGTACGTGATCCCCGTTGGCGCCGTGACGGGGTCCCGCATGAGGTCCAGCGAGATCGGGCACCGGAAGTGCGCCGGGATCGCAAGCTCCACGCTGCTGCTGCTGCTGCCGCCGCCGCCGAGCGACACCGCGGCCTTGGTCGCCGCCCTCCGTGCCCTCCGCACCAGCAGAGCCATCGGAACCAGCGGAAGGAAGCTAGAAGAGCTGGATTTCGACGATGAGTTATCGGGGATGACGACGGAGAGGCGTGTTGGATTGGTTTCTTGGTGGGTGAGGTGTGAAGAGTTCAATGCGAAGACTGGGTTGGGAGGCAGGAGCAGGAGGGCGGGTTCAAATAGGGAGGGAAGGCAACGGACGGGTAAAGGGTTTGAATTGGAACGTTGACGTTGAACGCGAGTTTGAATGCGTATAAACCGCGGGGGTGTGAAGAAACGGTCGGTAATGCCTCAACGCGCGCAGCGCGCAGCGCGCTGGCTTTAGTTAGGTGCCAGCAGTCACGCTCCCTCTTTTTCCTTTTGGGATTGGGAAGGTCCGGCACCGGCAGGTCTAGCATTTCAGGCCCTATATTTGGGATAACCGGGATCCTTTCACCCGAAACCTGTAGAATTTATACAAGATCTTTTACTTTTAACTGATATATACACGTGTGTTGCATCGAGATCATCATTTTTCGGACTAAACTTGGACGCGGACGCGGACGCGTGAGCTTAGAGGACTTCATATCAGACGCGGACACATAGATATAGTCTTCGTATCGGAACTGGGTAGAACGTAGACGCATAAGCTCCGAGTGGAGGATGATTGGTACCGGACATAGAAGTGTGAGTAGGGATCGAGATTTGGTATCACCGAGTAGACGATGATGTTACGGTCTTTCTAGGTATAGAGATAGAGAAATTTACTAGCAAATGTACATGTGTGTTAATGCACACCTTGACGCGCGGTAGTCCGAACGATTTGTGGCTTGAAGATTTATGTAACAGACGCATCGTTTATTTCAATATGTATCGGAATCGGACTACGTACTATCGCAAGACGCACAAACACACACAGTTCTAACTTGTATTCATGAGTTCGTGTCAAATACGGATAACAAAAGACATGAGAGCACTTTGCCGGGAAATAAAAAACACAAACGAAAGAATCACTTTCCTCTCTAATATTAGCTATCAGCATGTTCGCTTGTTGGTTTCAGCCAGGGCTTATCAGCCATGATACAGTGTTTTTCTCTCACAATAAACTAGCACCAGCCGGACTCATCAGGCCAGAAACCAACCAGCGAACAAGTTGTATATAGATTGGGAGCGGATCCAACATGGGGGCTTGCGGGGCTCCGAGCCCCCTGCCTCTAAATTTTTTAGTCATGGATGAAGAGGAGGAAGTTGAAATAAGAAGAGAAAAAGAAGAGGGAGGAAGAAGGGGGAAGATCACCCATCCTCCCACAAGTCCCTAGCTCCGCTCTTGGTATGGATATAGATCAATAACACTAAAATGGAAAAGTCAAGAGAAAAAAGAGAGAAATGAATGAACAATATAAAGCAAGAAGTTACCCCATGTCGTCTAAAAAAAGAAGTTACTCCATGCAAGTTCAATAGCCACAGGTGAAACCTAGGTTTAAGGACATAAAAAAAGATAGTATGAAGCTTGATGTTTATATCAGATTCTTACAATAATTTTTTTGAAATTGTGTGAAAATTATGGTGCACAGTTTAAGAACTATAAGATATGATCGAGCTTACTACGTGCAAATTGGCAGGGCTAGCCGCATAGGTAGGCCCACAGTAAAAGTTCAGTATTTAAATATCTAAGCTTGTGTTCATGCTATACATTTTTTTACCTATAGATAAAGTTTAATATTTGAATCTTAATTCTCACATTCATATTATAAAAGTTAAAAGAATTTGTCTGAAAAGTTCTACATGATTTAATTAGGGTAGAAACTACTTTGTGCAAGTTGGTAGGGCTAGGGCATTGGTGGGCTCACGATGAAAAGTTCGGTATTTAAATCTTTAACCTTGCGTTTAGGAGCTACAGCTATAAACTATAATGTACAAGTTGGCAACGCTAGGCACAGAGGTGTGCCCACGGTAAACTTTTAACTTCATGCTCACACTATAGTACTTTCACGAAATTGAATGAAAATTCTTGTGGTGATTTAATTAGGTACAAGTAGGAGTTGCTCTGTGCAAGTTGCCAAGTCGGTAAGGAAAGAGCATAGGTGGGCCGACGATGAGAGTTTTGTATATCAATCTTTAACCTTGTATTCATTGCTACAAAATTTTCATAAAAATATATGGAATTGTTGCAGATGATTTCATTAGGGTAGGAGCTATCCTGCGCAAGTAGACACAGCTAGGTGCCTATGTGTGTTCATGGTAAAACTTTAATATTTACATCTTTAAAATTACTTTGTTCAAAAAATAAATCTTTAAAATTACATTCATACTATAAAGTTAGAATAGGACTATCCTGCGCAAATAGGCACGGCTAGGTGTATATGAGTCCCATGGCAAAAGTTACCTTCTGTCAACGTTATAACATCTACACGAAATGCATATATTATACATGATATAATCATGATATAGGAGCCATTTTATAAAAGTTGGTAGGGTCTATGAGCTCGATCATATGGATTTGGTTTGAGTTTTTTTTAACCCATTAACTCTTTGCTTTTTCATATGTCAAACACGGTTTTATGGAGCGCTTTAATGATCAATTGGGTTGATCCGGTTCACGTTGTCTGTTTATTGTTTTGGTTTTCTTTTTTATTTTCTGTGGTAGCCTCCCAGAATTATTATTTGCTTGTATTTTTTTCTGTATCGTACATTTCAAATTCATAACAATGACTCGTTGATCGCAGCAGTCTATTTATTTTACCAAATAGAACGACCATTCCCTGGTGAAAAGTGGAGCTTGAATAAGTCTTTCAGCATTCTTGTGCACGTTACGGCTATCAGCCTGTTCCGCAGGCCGTAAATGATCGTGGATTATTTACTGCTGACTGATTTGGTGTGATAGAAAAATACTGCTCTAACTTATAATCCACGATCGTATACGAGCAAGCGAATATGCTGTTGTTGCAAATTATCAAACAAGTCTGCAGAGCCGGAACCGGTACTAGCTACATTTCAAACGTAAGCACTTTCGGTCTGAAAAACTTGTCTCTCGTGCATCATGACGTTTGAAATGCAAGACATGGCGCTGTCTTCTTAGTTCTCCCTGAAGAATTTGTATTTTTTTAAATCTTTTTGTTTTTTCGTGGAGAGCGTTCTCCCTGAAGAATTGTGACCAGAGATTATTATGTGCCCCTATAAGTTACGTGTGGCCATCAATAATTGTAGGTAGTAACTTTTAGGGGGTGTTTATCTCCCACCAATTCTAAACTTTGGCACTATATAAAAAGAAGATTTTCCGTCACATTAAACTTGCGGTACATGCATGAAGTACTAAATGTTGACAAAATCAAAAACTAATTACACAGTTTGGTTATACTTTACGAGACGAACGTTTTGAGTCTAATCAATCAACGATTAGACAATTATTATCAAATAAAAACAAAATACCAGTGTAGCTACAGTGTAGCTACAGTATTTTTGTCCGCGCCGAATGGGTGCGCCTAAACAAGGCCTTAGTGAACTCTCTGGAAAAGCGGTTCAAAGAATGCAGCATGCAGTTCATCACATCACTATCCAAGAACAGCTCAAACCAATTAAGTGAGCTGGTCTAGAAACTCATACTAGTAACAGGTCAAATCACAGGTTGTGAATGCAGCATGCAGTTCATCACATCACTATCCAAGAACAGCTCAAACCAATTAAGTGAGCTGGTCTAGAAACTCATACTAGTAACAGGTCAAATCACAGGTTGTGAATGCAGCATGCAGTTCATCACATCACTATCCAAGAACAGCTCAAACCAATTAAGGGCCTGTTTAGATTTCAAAAAATTTTGCGTAGTACCCGTCACATCGAATCTTACGGCACATGCATGGAGTACTAAATGTAGACGAAAAAAAAACTAATTGCACAGTTGGGTGAGAAATCGTGAGACGAAACTTTTGAACCTAATTAGTTTATAATTAGACACTAATTATCAAATACAAACGAAAATGCTACAGTGAGCCAAAATCTAAAAATTTTTGGATCTAAACGGGGCCTAAGTGAGCTGGTCTAGGGCGCGTTTAGTTCCGGCCGAAGTTGGGGCCGCTGAAAACCAGATTCACTGTAGTGCGCTGTAGTATTTCGTTTGTATTTGATAATAATTATCAAATCGTTGACTAATTAGGCTCAAAACGTTCGTCTCGTAAAGTACAACCAAACTGTGCAATTAGTTTTTGATTTCATCAATATTTAGTACTCCATACATGTACCGAAAATTTGATTGATGTGATGGAGAATCTTCTTTTTGTATAATACCAAATTTAGAAAATTGGGAGAACTAAACATGGCCTAGAAACTCATACTAGTAACAGGTCAAATCACAGGTTGTCCTAAAACTGGCAGAAAGATGGCTAGTTCCATTGCAAACTAGAGCACTCTTTTGTTCTTTTCCGGCCCATGTGGAGTGCCTGAAAGCAACTCGGGTAAAGCCACCACTAAAATTCTTCCAGCACTGCTTGGTTCAAATTTAGCAACTGTATTAAAATCTTGATTGAAGACGCCCTTTTGTTAGCTTTTGCTTTACATAGCATTGAGCGCCGAGCTGCGTTGTAATCTGCTAAAAGTAAGCATGCTATCCAGGGCTACGAGAAAAAAGTTCTCTAAAATAAAGTAGCATACCGTTGAAAAACTATCGTTGATTTGTTGTAAGAGAAAAATACTATTCCTTCGCTGAAACAGTACGGCTCATAAGACAAACGAACAGGGCCATAGCATGTTATCCAGCGCAAGAAGTTAAAAAATTCTTCAATGGAAATTGCTAATCTGAATATCTGCTTCCTATGAATTTTGCCAACTCGATATCATGGTAGCATTCATTCTCTAGAAGCATATATATCAGCTGTCTTCTGAAGATTAAGAGTACCTACCTTCTCCTCATTATAGAAGCGGTAATGCTTTGAATCGGGCGTCCGTCCGCCTGGACGCTCTGTTGCTGGGCCACCACGCTAACTCAATAACCTACGCTCCTTCGTTTCGGAAAAACCATGCTCATCACTTATTCATATCCACTCATTTCT